TTTATAACATTTATGCCCTTTAGTCTTTTCTTTAATACTAAAGTGACCAAAATAAGTTTTGACTACTTTAAATAATGATCCTAACACATTGATTATACATATGTGACCCAAAATAATTCTTACAATCTCCCACTGGGTCACATATGTATCTGAAAATGTGATAGACTTTATGAGCTCAAAATTGTCATTATATATCAGAGCATAAACAATCATGTCCATTAACTATAACAACATAGGATCATAGTGGTCTTCATTATAACAATCATAACTAAACCTTCCATGGTCACTAAAATCAGTATAGTTAAATGACAGAGATCAGTTATGAAAAGTGTGGCATGAAAATCACAAGAAAAGTGATCAATACATGTCGATTTTTAATTGGTCCTACTTTATTGGGATCCCTTTACTTTATAGTACAAAGTATAAACTGAAAACTTTATTTCTGATCAGAAAAATGTACATAAACACAACCAAAACATAGAACCCAAAATCAAATCAAAAATCCCACTAAACTAAATGACCATCAAAAATTGAAACACCCATTCGAGCAGTATGCTCATTAAAGACCTTTGGTGTAATACCTTTTGTAAGAGGATCAGCTATCATGGAGTTTATCCCTAAATGTTCTATGGAAATCTCTCCACTTTGCACTCTCTCCTGAACAACCAGGAATTTAATTTCAATAAACTTGGACTTTGTCACACTTCTATTTTTGTTGGAGTACAAAACAGCTGATTTCTTGTCACAATATATCTTTATTGGTCTTTCAATTCCTTCAAGAATTTGCAGCTTTGTGACAAAATTCTTCAACCAAAGTCCCTGATTGGATGCCTCAAAAACTGCTACAAATTCTGCTGCCGTTGTGGAGGAAGCTACGAGTGATTGTTTTGCACTACGCCATGCAATAGCTCCACCGGCCAACAGAAAAACATAGCCTGAAGTGGACTTTTTACTATCTTGACATCCAGCAAAATCAGAATTAGAATACCCAATGATCTCTGATATTTGAGCATATAGTCCTTTGTTCTTTGCAGGTACCTCATGACCCTTTTGGCTGTTTTCCAATGGTCCAACATGCATTACTTAAGTATCTGCCCAAAACTCCAATATTGTACGCTAAATCCGGACACGTACAAACTTGAGCACATATCAGACTCCCTTATGCAGAATCTTTTGCATTTCCTGAATTTCCAAATTTCCTTTAGGGCACCGACTGAGAGAGAGAATTTATCTCCTTTAGCGACTAGGGTATCACTTGGTTTACAATCCTGCATGCCAAATCTCTTGAGTACTTTATCGATATAGTTCTTTTGTGATAATCCTATAATACATTGAGTTCTATCTCGATGAATCTGAATCCCTAATACAAAAGATGCTTCACCAAGATCTTTTATTGCAAAACTTTTCTTAAGAAATCTCTTGGTCTCATGCAACATGCCTATATCGTTGGTGGCCAAAAGTATGTCATCAACATACAACACCAGAAAAATGCACTTACTCCCACTAAACTTTTGATACACACAATATTCGACCAAAGGAAGTGATTACCTCATGAAACTTGTGGTACCATTGACGAGAAGCCTGTTTTAGCCCATAGATAGATTTCTTTAACTCTCAGACCATTTTCATTGAATCACCTACTACAAAGTTTTCAGGTTGCTCCATATAAATCATTTCATCAATGTTCCCATTGAGAAACGCTGTCTTAACATCCATCTGATGAAGCTCTAAGTCATAATGTGCAACAAAGGCCATGATTGTCCTAAAAGAATCCTTTGATGAGACTGGAAAAAAGGTTTCTTTGTAGTCAATCCCTTCTTTCTGAGTATATCCTTTAGCCACTAGACAAGCCTTATACCTCTCGATATTACCACTTGAGTCCAATTTGGTTTTAAGTATCCATTTGCAACCAATTGGTTTCTTTCCTTCTGGTAACTCGACGAGGTCCCAAACTTTATTGTCTAGCATTGACTGATACTCTTCTTCAGAAGCTTTGACCCACTTATCTGATTTGGAACTACCCATTGCCTCACGGAAGTTGATAGGATCATCTTCCAACTGGGTTTGATTTTTCTCTTGTTCCATAAGAAACAGTATGTAATCATCCGGAATAACGCTTCTTCTTTCTCTAGTGGATCGCCGCAAAGGCACTTGTTCTTGTTGCACCACTTCTTGAGGATCTTGAATTTGACCTTCATGTTCGATAACATTGTCATCTTCATTTGGAGGAAGGATTTCTGTATCAACTTTAGGTTTCAAATTTGCATTGTCAAAAGCAACTATATGAATCAGATTAGAAACTGAAACTAATTCTTCCTGATGTCCTTAACTTTATTTCTTCTCCCAAATTAAATATCCTCAAAGAATGTGGCTGTTCCCGTCTCAAAAATAATATTTTGTGTGGGATAATAAAACTTATAGCCCCTAGATCGCTCCGAATAACCAACAAAGTCACTGCTCACAGTTTTGGAGTCCAATTTCTTCTCATATGGCCTGTAAGGCCAAGCCTCAGCTGGACATCCCCAAATGTGAAGATGCTTCAGACTAGGTTTTCTACCAGTCCAAAGCTCATAAAGTGTCTTTGCAGTTGCTTTATTTGGTACTCTGTTAAGAATGTAAACTGCAGTCTTTAGTGCCTCTCCCCAGAGTGATTCAGGCAAGGGAGAATGACAAATCATACTCCTTACCATGTCTTTAAGAGCTCGATTGCGTCTTTCAGATACACCATTCATACTGGGAGAACCAGGCATAGTCTATGGACTCTGACTTTTCATGAATAAGAAATAAGTATGCATATCGAGAATAATCGTTAATGAATGATATGATTTATTGTTGACCATTCCAAGAAGCCGTAGGGAATGGTCCACAAATATCTGTATGTATCAACTCAAGGACTTCCGTAGTTCTATATGCACCTAGTTTCTTATGTTTAGTCTGTTTTCCTTTAATGCAATCCACACAGACATCACAATTTGTGAAGTCAACAGAACTCAATATACCATATGACACAAGTTGCTCAATTCTATTTCTAGAAATGTGATCTAAGCGTTTGTGCCACAGAGTTCCTGAATTTGCATTCTCAAACTTTCGTTTAGTACCCCTTGATTCAACACTTAAACTTTCATCATGAGAAGTTACAGTGTCAAGCATATAAAGACTGTGATTTTTCATAAGTGTACCAGTTCCAATTAAATTGAATTTAAAGACAAAGTAACTTTTTTATGCTCAGTTAGACAAGAATAACCAGATATCTCTAAATAAGAACTGGAAACCAAATTCCGTCTAAATGACGGTAAAACAAAAGTGTCTTTCAAATCCAAAAAATGACCAGTACTAAAAAACAATCTAAAATGCCCAATTGCCTCCACATCCACCGCAAAACCATCAGCCACATAAATGCGTCTTTCAGCTTCAGTAGGTTTTCGGTAGCTCAGGCAACCTTGTAATGAAACATTGATGTTAGTAGTTGCACCTGAGTCTAACCACCAAGTGTTTCTGGGTACTTCAACTAAGTTCACCTCTGAACAGACCATAGCAAGGAACATAACTTTCTTACCACGCCAAGCATGATATTTTTGGCAGTCCTTCATGTGTCCAAGTTTCTTACAAAAGAAGCAGGTATCTTCATCCTTAGTCTGCTTCTTTTGAGATGAATCTTTAGCAGCATCATTTTTAACAACCTCAATTTTCATTCTTTTGCCCAGACCCTTAGAGGTGTTAACCATATGAGCACTCTCAGACCTTTCTTGTTTCATCATATCCTCCTCGTTCACACAATATTAAATGAGCTCATTAAGAACCCACTTCTCCTTACGTGTGTTGTAACTGGATTTCAATTGATTGAATTGAGGAGGAAGGGAGTTCAAGACAAAATGTATGAGCACTTCTTCTGGAAGCTCAATCTTGAGAGTCTTGAGTTTTGAAACAATGTTGGACATTTCCAAAATGTACTCCCTTATGTTTCCTTTGCTGTGATACCTCATGGTACTAAAGCGATAGAGAAGAAAACTTATTTCTGCTTTATCGCTAATCGCAAAATGCAATTCCATCTCAGCATGGAACTGTTTGAGATCCGAGATCTCCTCATTACCTCTAAAGGTTTCTAGAATGGTGTCCAAAATATCATTAAACCAATGTGATTGGAATGTTCCCACTTCACATGAACTGCCTTATATTCGGTTTATGCGATTGGAACGTTCCCACTTCACATGAACTGCCTTATACTCATAAGTGCTGGTATCTGTAGGAGAAGTAGGTTGTTCCATCCTTAACGCAAGGTCAAGATCCATACACTCAAGAACAATCTTAACTTTACTTTTCCATTTCTTGTAGTTGGAACCGGTAAGTGTTGGAATTGAACTTAAGTTTGCAAATACTGCAGTAAAAATTGCTGCAAAATTAAACAATTTTTATTACTAATTTACTATTAAACCGAATTAATCAATAATAACTAAACGATTGTACAACCCATCTTAAGATAGAAAGTGCAATATTAATATCAAGTCTTTGGACAGTAATATTAACTGCTAGTGATACTCTTGTTGCAACAATCAAACACTGACAATAATGCATGATAAATAATAAACCTATCTTTGGATCGATCTATCATTCATATGGTTATTCCAAATAATCGTCACATGTTTATCATCACATGTATGTATGTAATTTGGTCAAATACAACCCTACTTTTTGGTCGATTTAATATTCGCATGAATTCATCACATAAGAATCAATAAAAAATGACATTGTAATGGTTAAATAAGATAAAAATGTCTTTTTGCAGCTGAAACTCATGTTGCGAAAACACGTAAGCGAAACACTGTGAAACTCGCTAAAAACACGACACATCAGCAAATTACTACACAAATAAGTAGATAGATTAAGTTTTTGTTGTAAAAAGAAGTGGTAAACGTCCCACTCCCACATCGACAAAAGAGAGTGAATGTCATGTTCAACATGTTCTATAAATAGTGATACACTCTTAGTAATAAAATATTGAGAACACTTATGCTATAGGGCTTCGAAAAACCCATTTATAGTTTAATAATTTTCTAATTAATCGCTACTTGGGCTGATTAATCCTGGATGAAGTCGATTGGAGTGAGCGTCTGGGTCGACGATTGAGGCAGAGTCCAAAATTTGTGATGACATGTATGCAATTTCTAACGGAGTAGTTGAACCAGCTGAAAAAGAGTCAGAGCTTGTTGTTTCTGATAACGCTAGGCTAATGGAAGGTGAGACTGTGCTTCTTGCTTGTGCCACCATGAATTTGGATGAGTTAGAGTTGAAGAAAACAGAGGGTTTGGCTCCTTTTATTGAAGTGGCGTTAGAGAAGGTTCGTTTGACTATGTGTGATGATGAGAAAACTGATGGGGCTAAAGGGAAAACTAGTGATAGTAGTAGCAGTGAAGAAGAGGATAATGACGAGGACGAGAGTGATGATAAGGACGAGAGCGAAGAGGAGGAAAATAAAAAGGAAAAGAAACTTGACGATCAAATGGTCATGGGGAAATAGGATGATATGGTAGGGCAAGGATTCTTGGGTTCACCCCTAAGAGTGAATTCATTCATTATCCCCTTTTATTTAAACCAATTAGAATCTGCCATGTAATATTATTTTTAAAGAAAAATAAAAATTTAAAATTAAAAGATTAAATACTCAATTAAATATTTTGATAATATATATATAACAAATAATATATATAAAGATTAGAATTTAGGATTGAGTTTTTATTTTAATTTTTTAAAGGTTTATAGATTATGATTTAGAGTATAAAAATTAAAATTTAGAGATTAGGGTTTAAAATTTCGAAAATAAAATAAATAATTATATAAATATTAAAAAATATTTATATATAATTTAATATTATGCTTGGGTTTACTATTTCCAATTTAGGTTTTAATTTTTCTTTATTTAAAATTCCAAAAATAAAACAAATAATTATATAAAAATATTTTTTTATTAAAACTAATTCTACATAAATTTCAATATTATGCTTGGGTTCACTATTTCTAAATTAGAATTTAGTTTTTTCCATTAAAAAAATAATTTAATATTATGTTTGGGTTCACTATTTCCAATTTAGAGTTTAGTTTTTTTATTTTTAAATTTCGAAAATAAAACAAATAATTATGTAAAATATATTTTTATTAAAAATAATTCTACATAAACTTTAATATTATGTTTGGGTTTAATATTTCCAAATTAGGCTTTAGTTTTTTCTTATTTAAAAAAATATATTTAAAATGTGCTATTTTGGTAAGTTATTTTAAGTGATTTTATTATATGGTAGATTATCATTGGTTAAAATGAGAGGGGTGACATTCACCCCTAGGGGTGAACCCAAGAATTGTTCGTGGCAGGGAAACTTAAAGAGGGTGAGATAGAGAGTGAAGATGAGGATGACAATTGACGATAATGATGATTCAGATGATGATGATGAAGTGAATGAGATGATTGCTTGGAGCAATGATGAGGATGAGGACGTCGGTTTGCAAACCAAAAAACCTATAAGGTCAAAGAATAAGCTCAAGGTACCCATGCTTCAGCTTTTTTACATTTATAGCTATTAGTAGTAGTTTTTTTTTTGTTTGGAAAATCTAAGCCGTAGGGTAACTGTTTCTAACTCCAATGCCCAAGCTTTGTTAACTTGAAATAAGTCCGCGATCCATTGTTTTTGTAGAGTAAGAAGTGCAATCCATTATTTTATTCGTAGAGTAATTATTTAAAACTGCAACAAAAAAGCTATTATAAAACCTTTATAAATCAATATTAAAAAATTAATAATTACTATAAAATATGAAATTTTATTGGTAAGTCGAACAAATGTAAAAATTTATCAAATTTGATAAGATAATAAGACAATAATTTTTTGAAAATTCATATGTAAATATATGGTCCCAACAAAAACATAAATTAATAATTACATAAATTTTAATAAATACATATATATATAATATACTAAAATATTACTAATGTATTTGTTTTTATTTAAAATAGAAATCTTTTTGGATCTCATCTCTTTAATTATTATATCAGTAGCTCCTATTGTTGTTTTATGATATGTATTCATAATTTATAATAATTTTTATATAATAATTAATTTTTTACTTATAAATATATTCAAATGTATTTTAGTAGTATATTTAATTTTATTATTAATAATATAGATAATACCATCATTTTAAAAAAAAATTACAACTTATAAAATTATATAATTTTACATGACTAATCCAATATGCTATCAAAAACTATTCCGTTGTGATACTTATGATTGTTAAGCATAATTTACATTAAAAGATTTTTTAAAATTTTAATTATAAGATTATTCGAAAAATTTATTTAAAATTTTAAATATAACATTATTTGAAATAATTATTTTCAAAAATCATATGTGAGAACCAAATATTTTCTATAAATTAATAATTATTAATTTATAGATAAATTAATATCACGATTAATTAATAAAATATTATGATTCAATATTATTAATTTATAGATGTTGAGTAAATTATGAAAGTTTATTTTTTGTTTTTAACCTTTGCAGGAGCTTCCTCCAGTTCCAGATGTGGATGTCACATTAGAACCGCATCATGTCACGCTTCCTGTTGGAGTTGTTCTTTCGGTATCATAACCTCTACTTGAATGCTAGTGTTTCTCTGTTTGTTATTTTGGCAATCCGCTGCCAATTGTATATGATTTGTGATATTACAGGTACTGAGCACACAACTAGTAGTTGAGAGGATGGAAAAGCATAGTCCTCTGACTGAAGGTTCTATCTTATGGATAACTGAAAGAAGAACGCCACTGGGACTTGTGGATGAGATCTTTGGACCTGTAAAGTGCCCTTACTACATTGTGAGGTTCAATTCAAAGAGCGAAGTGCCAGAGGGGATTATTCAAGGTACACATGTCTCATTCGTCGCCGATTACGCTCAACATATTCTCAATATCAAGGAACTGGAAAAGAAAGGTTACGATGAATCTGGAGATAACGACGAGGAGATATCAGAAGACTCAGATGATGAAAAAGAAGCCGAGTACAGAAGAATGCAAAAGATGGAAAAGAGAGGGATGGGGAATGGCCAAAAAACGGCAACACAAGAAATAAGAAGAAGAAAAACCGAGATCACGGAAGGCCTACAAGCAGTTACTCAGGGGAATGGACAGAAAACCATGGAACTAGTTCTTTATCGTCAAACTGTTCTGATCCTCAGAGGGGTGGTCCGGTTTCGAATCATCAGCCACATCCTCAAATGGATGGTTTTTCTCCTAACGGTGGAGCATGGAGACCCCAGAGTAACCACCAGAACCCATATCCCAATCTAGCTCAAATGCAGATACCCTTGATGGCAATGCAAAACCAAAATCAGATGATGTTCCAACCTCAGTTCAATGGTGGCCAGATGTCCATGCCAACTGGACCGGGGGGCTTAAACTTCTTTCCAGGACAGGCTTCAACGCCATGGCCTGCAATAGTTGGTCAGAACTGTTTCAACCAACAACCGTTTGGGATGGGTCGCGGTATACAGCTTCCGCAATTACCGAATGAGCTGAATTTTAACCTGTTCACTTCCCAAAGTTTTCAAGTGCACCAGTCGCATTCCCAAATACACTAGCCACAATCTCCAATGAACCCACAGTTCCAACCCCACCCACAGTACCACATGCTGAACCATAGTCCACAGTCTCCAATGAACCCTCAATTCCAAATGCAACCACAATCTGAAACTCGTCCACAGTCTCAAGTCCCGCAGTCACCAACTAATCCGCAGTCCCCTGTGCGACCACAGTCTCAGGGTTTTAGCACCGGGCAGTCTTTTGAACGGGGAAGGGGTCATCGTGGTAGGGGTAGGGGCCGGGGTCGCTTTGGACGTGGGCGAGGTCGTGGTCGGCAACAGTCTGGATGAAACTGTTTTGGTTAGGCATTTTGATGTGTGTCAAAAGAAAGTTTTATTTACTTTTGTATGCCAATTGTTTTGGTAAATCAAACAACTCATCAGCTATGATCTATGATCTTCTTTTTTATAGTGTCTTTTCCTAATGTGATTGGCCACGTCCTTTGAACATTCGTTTTGAAGAAATTAATGAATTATATTTCATTAAGATTTTGTGTTGTCGGATATTACCCACTGTTAGACAAAGTTTTTAAAACTTATACTGTTCTGTCACGTACAAAACCGGTGGATGAGAAAATGTCTTTGTGGCTTGAGAAGAGTGAACCCACACGGCAATGTATAGAAGAAAGAAGCTAAAATAACATTTCGGTCTGTTTTTATATTCTTCTCATCACATCTCGCCCTCCACACCCATCAACCGAACCATTGTGTTATAAAAAAAAACCTAATTATCAGATTTTCGATTGTGCATTTGTAGATGTTATCGATTGTTAAGCATGCGGAAAACAAATCCTAATATCATGTAGTGCATTAGTACCCATCAGTAATCAAAACCTTAGGGGTAACAAGACAAAAATAACCAAAAACTAAACGACTCTCCTCGAAACAGAAGTTTGTTTGGTGTTTTAGTTTTTTTCACTATCTGAAACCCTTTAATGAGAGAGATTGGTCTCTTACTTTAGTGCTCAAGGTGGAACACATACTCTGTCAAACGTTGAAGCTTCGATGAATCCACCTTTTGCTCTCTTTTAACAGCTTGCTTCTTAACGGTCACCATTTGAGAAGTTGCATCCACTATCCATCCATTCTCTACAACATCTGTGTATATATCCAGCAAAAGTTAACATTTTTTTATCAATAATTAAGTTAGGAGGTTGCATACAAAACACTAAGCTAAGACATCGCTGCGGAAACCTCTTTTAAAGAATTCTTCAAAAGTAGATAAATTAGTATTGTCTCAAAGGATAACTGTATTGATATTATTGACTAAATTCATAAAAAATCTAAGACTTTTGATGTGGCAGAAGACAGTTAATCTTTGAAAGCAATAGGAATTTGCTGAAAGAAGCTTACAAGTTGTGGCATCATTCTCCGTCATCCCTAGGAAAAGGGCCACATCAGAGATGGTAATTGTGGAGTAGGCAGACAACAAAAGCTGAAACATCCTTTTGGTGTAAAGATCTGCAACAAAACACCAACACAAGAAATTGCGTTGGGTGATGATGGAAATACAAAGTTTAACTAATGTGACTAGGCGCAATTAAGGGTCAGGTGTTGAACAATGGATAAGGATATGGAAAAAGCTACCACTTTGCACAGTACTGTTCAATATGTTTTTAGCATCTAATTGGGAATTTGTCTACTTTCTATCCTACTGAGCTAGTACCTCTCTACCAGTTCGATCATAGAAGCAGCTACGGTTTTAATCAAAAAAACGATAAGACACCTACACTGATAAAATAGTATTCAAATTCATGTTCAGAATGTTCAATGGTGACATGCGAGTTGGTTTTATATAAGAGCATAACACAAAACCTAAAGTAAGGTTCCCAAGATAACATGCTAGCACAGTTATGGCTCTCAATATGCAGATCAAAGCTTGAAACCTAATGAGGAAAAAGAAAGAAAGAAAAAAACCACCAACTTTACATGCTTTTATATATACTGCAGCTGCGTAAGCTGTCAGCAAGCTTAATTCAGGAAACCATTCCATCATAGCTAATGGTATGTAACACAGAAAGTTTACCTGAGAATGCAGCAACCATATCTTTGGCTTCTTGACTCCAATCATAACCCCGAATAGCTTCGTATACACCTGCATAGTCACGCGTCCACAGCTTCTGCCCAATCCTCCAAGCAGCGACAACTTCAGGCTTGCTCTCCTTGATAGCTGTAGGTATTGTTTTCCAGAGGAAACGGGCGCTATCACTGCAGTATTTTCATTCCAGATTTAGCCAAACAAACACAACACACATCAAAAGTAATTTCTAAATGGGCCATGTACAAGTCAAGAACAATAAAATCGCAATTCTCTAGTTTCAATATATTATGCTCGCCACTAAGACACAAACGCAAAATTGTTAAAAGGATTTCTACAACTATTAACTTGTATCAAACTAAGTGGATATAAACAAGGCAATATTTCATTCCAGATTTAGCCAAACAAGCACAACACACATCAAAAGCGATTTTAAAAAGGTCAATATCGTAGTCAAGAACGGTAGAACCATAACACATTAACACTCTAGTTTCAATATACCAACACTCGCTTTAAAGACACAAACACGAAACTGTTAAACGGATTTCTACACGTATCAACCTTATCAACATCTGATTTCTCTTCTTAGAGGATACAAACAAGGCAATGTGAAAAGCAGAACTATAGACCTTAAAAAGATCCCCAAGAACGCAAATCAATGCCCTTTACTGGATGAATACAAATTGTCATCTTATAAGAGGAATTGTAATTTCAATCGAAGCAGTAACAACAATTCGGAAGCGCTAAAATCCGCAGGAATTCAATGAAAACAGCTCAAAAACCCTTCAAAGGGGAAATTTCAACTCACCAATCGTCAACGTAAAAGTAACCCAGAAGATGGATTGCGTAAGGCCAGTCATCATGGAAAGAGATTCCTTCGGAAGCAACCTATTGATTTAAGAGCAAACAAAAAGCGAACGATTATCCCCACAAACTCTACAAAACCCTAGCGAATACCAGAAACAATGATAGGGAGAGATATTTAGGGACCTGAAGCATAAGATTATCGCATATATCGGCGATTCTATCATAGGATTTGGCGGCCAAAGCTTCCGTAACAGTAGAGAGATCCATGGCTAGTTCGTTTCTCGTACTACTCCCAGAGCTTAGCGAAGAAGATGACGATCGTTCTCTCTCAGAGGACTGTAGACGGAAAAAAAAATTTCTATGAGATTCTATTTTAAAACCTTTTCGATACGGTTTACTTTAACCGAACGTAACCAAACTTAAACCGTACGAAAATAAATTTTGAATCAAAACCCCGAGGAAAACATGTATTGGGATATTCTGAAATTGGAAGTAGATCGATGGAATGGGACTTAATTTTGGAAAGAATGTAGTTATTAACAAAAAAAAAAAATTGACTTACATCATCATTTTCTTGAATGAGTTGGTAAATGAGGCGGTTGTTGTTGATAATCATATTGATTGCAATTTGTTCTTCTATATCCATTGCTTCATTTTCATTCATTAACCATTCATCAAATTCAGATGAATTTGAAGAAGAAGAAGAAGAGGAACTTCCAATACCAAATGAAGATGGATTTCCACTATTAAAATTCATTTTTAATTAAGTGGAAATGATTGTGATGCTTTTCTAACATATATATATCTATATGTGTACTTTTATAGATAAAAAGTTAAGAAGATAAGAAAATCTCTGGACATTAATCTACACTATTCATTAGATTTCAGTAATTCTGAACCATTAGATTAAAATCTTATCCAACCTATCTAACTTATCCAGTTATTTAATAATATTTCTGAGTTTTTGATCTACATCATTCACTAGATCTCACACATTATTAACACTGGATTAAAATCTTATCCAACATATATTATCTATATACTATGAGAGAAGGTATTGATTTATTTTGCTTTGAAAGTGAATATGTTTTAGATTTTTAGGTAAAATTATCAATTTTTTTTTGTATAATCATTGCTTTTATTCAGTTTTATAAATCTAGTAATCTCTTTTATTCATTGCTTTTTTTAGTTTTTTTCTCCAAATTTCGAGTTCCTTGATCTAAATTTTGATCTAGAGATAATTTTTAACTTTTTCAATATATATTTTTATTTTTTTATGATTTTGGTAACCTTTTTCATCTATTATCTTCTTGAATTTTTTCATCAAAATTCTGACTATTAACAATTTTAACTTTCTCAATTTATCATTTTTATATTTTGTACTACATTTCATTCAATCTATCTTTCCAGCATGTACCTTCAAAACTGTTGACATACATATTAAATTTTTTACTTTTTTTATTTTCTCTCTATTTTTGATATCTTGATATTTTCTTGATTCTTTATTGATTTTTTATGTTATAGTTTTATTGTTCTTATTTATTATTCTTCAGTTGTTTGTTTTTTAAAAACATATTATTTTCAGTTTTAGCTTTCAATCCATCTTTCTAACCACTACCTTTTTTTTAAATTTATTTGTTGCAATATTCTTTTCTTTTTTTCTTTTCAACCATTTTCTCTAATTTTGATATTCTCTTTACTTCTCATTTTTGTGATTTTATAGTTTTTGTTTTTTTGTTATAGTTGCTTGAAAATATTTTAACTATTAATTGTACTTTAAGTCTCAAAATCTTTTTTTAATGATTGAATTATATTTGTTAGTTCAAAGATGAGGATTAAATTACACAAAAAAAAAGAAAACAATACTATATCTTAATAAATTTGAATTTCTTTATCCAAATTTTGAGTTTCTTGATCTAAATTTTGATCTAGAGATAATTTTTAACTTTCTCAATATATAATTTTTTTTTATGATTTTGGTAACCTTTTTCATCTATTATCTTTTTGAGTTTTTTTTTTATCAAAATCTTGACTATTAACAATTTTAACTTTCTTGATTTATTATTTTTTATATTTTTATTACATATATTTCATTCAATCCATCTTTCCAATCGTACATTCAATATTGTTGCCATACATATTATTTTTTTAACTTTTTCTTTTTATTTTCTCTTTTTTTTATATATCTTGATATTTTTTTGATTCTTTATTGATTTTTTATATTATAGTTTTATTGTTCTTATTTGTTATTCTTCCGTTTTTTGTTTTTTTTTTAACATATTGTTTTCAATTTTAGCTTTCAATCCATCTTTCTAACCAGTACCTTTAAATTTTTTTAAATTTATTTGTTGCAATATTCTTTTCTTTTTTTTTCTTTTCAATCATTTTTCTCTAATTTTGATATTCTATTTACTTCTCATTTTTTGTGGTTTTATAGTTTTTATTTGTTGTTATAGTTGCTTAAAAATATTATCAACTATTATTTTTATTTTTAGTCTCAATACCTTTTTTAATGGAATTATATTTGTTAGTTCAAAGATGGGATTAAATTACACAAAAAATAAAATGAGAAAGCAATTACTATACTTTAATAAATTTGAATTTCATTTATTCTAAATTTATGTTCAAAGTATTTTAAAGTAACATAGTTAAATGTAAATTAATTAGTTTATATATATTTCTAATTTTAATGGATTTTCTTTTAATTTAAATATTTTTTTTAGTAAATGCTGATGTAGATATTTTTGGAAGCTGACTTGTAAAAAACATTAACCAATAATGAAGCGCTAATGTGTCGATCTGGAGAGCCTCCTTCACTTATTATATATAAGAATAAAGTTATCATGTATACATAATAGAATTTAAGCAATAAAAAATTATACCTTCTACCAACTCTTTCCATCCTAAAAAAATATAAAAGAAAATATAAAATTATCATTCAGTCAACATGAAAATGAATTACTATGTACATTGAAGAAAGAAGAAAGAAAACGAAAAATAGTGGGTCTCTACGTATTCTCTGATGAAGGCGATTTTTTGGGCGATTTTCGAATTGCTCTATCAAATCGAATTGTTCCTGCATTTGGGAACGATTTTTTCTGCAAATGATGGCGTAGTGGGTGGTAATCCAGATCCGCTATGATGAAATCGTGGGTGGTAACCGCCGAAGAACTTTTCTATATATTCTGATTTTCACGAACCTTCATTTGTGTCTCAAATCTGCAATCACTTACCATTATTTCTCTTGTTTCTTATCTCTTTGGTCTCTAATTCATTCAATGGCGGAAAATTTGAGGAGAGCAATCCAAGATATCAACTTGGGTGCCGACGATGAACCAGTTCTCTTACCGGTGGAGGCATGTCAAGCAGCGGCAAGGGTGAACCAATTTTCGTTAATTGGTCGGGCGCTGCTTCCAAGGAAGCAAAATGTCCGATCGATTGTTGCAGCACTTCCACGCAATTGGGGCCTTGCCGGAATCATTTCTGGCCGAGTGGTGGAACGAAGGCGGTTCCAGTTTGTGTTTCCAAATGAGGAATTGATGCAGTCAATTCTCAACCGTGGCCCTTGGGCATTTAATGATCGAATGTTGATCATTCAAAGGTGGACTCCAGAACAGAATGATCTGGATTTGAACTACATCCCATTCTGGGTTCAAATCCGAGGGATTCCGTTGCAATACCTGTCGACGACCGTTATCAGGCACATTGCAGACAGGCTCAGCCATGTGGTGGCGGTGGATTTCAACCCGGAGTTGGCCGCAGCGGTGGAGTTCGTGCGAGTGAAAATCAATTGGAATGTTGATTTACCATTGAAGTTCCAAAAAAATTTCCAATTTACTCCAGGTGTCAACATTCTCCTACGATTTTATTATGAAAGGCTTCGGGGCTTCTATGACATTTGTGGACTGCTAACGCATGATTCTGGAGATTGTGTTCATCAAGAGCCCAACCCGGATGAACCACATGAGGATGACGGGAATGCGGATGATATGAATGAAGATGGTCAGGGGAATCCACAAGAGCAACCTGAACACCAACATGAAGGTGATGCAGAAGTAGATGATGTTGCAATGGAGGGCCAGAATGCTGAGGAACCAGATGACAATGAGAATCCAGATGACGAGTACTTACCATTCAATGATGAAAATTTCCACACCACATTGGCGGATTTTGTACGGGAGCGTACAAAATTTGTGGGTCCAAATGCAAAGAAGTGTAAAGAAGACTTCATAGCAAATCTGTTCACCAATCAATCCCAAGAAGAAACAAATGAAACCGCTGCTGAGAGTTCCAGGGCACAAGAAAGCCTAAATCAAAACCACAATCCGACTACGGTAGATGAAGGTCCTCATGATGAAGCGAATGCATCGGTGGATGCTGATGGTGATGTGGAAAGCCTTGACGATTATGAGAGAGCCATGATCCCTCTCCGAGGTCTTAAAGAAGTCATGCGCAGGCATCGTTTTGTGGAAAATCTCTTAGCAGATTGCATAACCACCACTCCTAAAACACCAGAGATAATGAATGAAGCGGGTCAAACTGTAGAAGATGTGATGGAGGAATGGTCTACAATTGGGTCGGTGATGCAATATGGGAGTTTTCTGGAGAGTGGGTTCACCTCTCAGTCAGAGGATGGATCGGCACAGCCACTAAACAAAGGTGCAGGTAAAAGAATCTTCACTAGTGATATAATTCTTGATGGTATGGATTCTGCTGATGCTACTCAGACTCCCAAGAGGCTCCGAGTGGAAGATGAAGCTGTGGACAAACATATCCAAGAGGAAGGCCACCAGATTCGGGAGGAGAATGCTTTGAGAAAGCTGCAAGCTGACTACAGCAACTGTATCGAGGACCTATTCGACACTTCACTTCTCGGAGGCGCGGTGGGCCCGAATCCACCAGAAGTCCCATGAGAGTAGAAGTTTGGAACTGTCGAGGCTTGGGACAGCGCCTGACAGTTCGACGTCTTCAAGAGATGCAGAGGCTGTATCTTCCGGACTTGTTGTTCCTGGTGGAAACAAAACAAAACAATGATTATGTAAGAGATATAGGATCTCTATTAGGATATGATGCTATGCAGATAGTTGCGCCTGATGGCCTTAGTGGTGGATTAGTAGTTTTCTGGAAAAGTTATCTTTCTGTTTATTGTATTTCCGCAGATGCAAGGCTTGTAGACTTATCTATTGAATTCAAATCTTTTAAGTTTTACTTGTCTTGTATTTACGGATATCCAATTCCCAGACTAAGACACTATCTTTGGGAAAAGCTACAGCGCATATCAATAGCAAGAACAGGACCGTGGATGATGTGTGGGGATTTTAATGAGATCCTCACACCTTCGGAAAAGAAAGGTGGACGAGTAAGAAATGCAAGTAGCTGCCTTGGTTTCAAGACGATGATGCAGGTATGTGGTATGACTGATTTGAAATCATCTGGTAATCCATTTAGTTGGGTAGGGAAGCGGAGAAATGAGGTGGTCGAATGTTGTCTGGATAGAGTGTTAGTCAATTCGGAGTGGAATAATGCTTACCCTGCTTCACAAATGGAATTTCTTGATTTAGCTGAATCTGATCATAGGCCTATGATCATTAATATTGAATATGAAGAAAAGCAGCGACAAGGTCTGTTTCAATATGATAAACGTTTATATCATAATGACGATTTCAAAGATACAGTCACAACTTCTTGGCAGACTCGTATGAGACAAACTAATCAATTTTCTGCGAAGTTGGTTAAGTGCAGGTCTGCTATGGCGAAATGGAAGAGGAGAAATAGGACGAATGCAGCTGAGAGAATCCAAATGCTGCGTACTCAGATTGATGAAAAATTGCGAGATGCTTCAATCCAGGTATCAGAAATTCATCGTTTAAAGAAAGAACTTGGTGACGCCTATTATGATGAAGAACAATTTTGGAAACTGAAAAGCAGGAACAAATGGTTACAAGCTGGGGATCGTAACACTAAATTCTATCATGGTGGCGACGAAAGCTAGAAGATTTAGAAATTGTATCAGGCATGTTGAGGACAATCAAGGTATTATCCACAAGAAGGATGAAGCTATAGCTAAGGTTGCTGAAGAATACTTTCACCAAATGTTTACCACGTCTAATACAGCTTCTGTTAGTGAAGTTTTTCCAGAGATAGTACAAACTGTCACTTCTGATATGAATTCTTTTTTAACAGCGCCTATTACAGATAATGAAGTCAAAGAGGCGGTATTTCAAATGGGACCTGACAAAGCACCAGGCGCAGATGGATTCACAGCCGCTTTCTATCAACAATTTTGGGAACAGATTGGAGGAGATGTATGTCATATGGTTAAAGGATTTTTTGAAACAAATGAGATGGAACCAGGTATGAACCATACACAGATTTTCCTTCTTCCCAAAATTACTGATGCTATGGTTATGAGTGACTACAGACCAATAAGTCTATGCACTGTGAGTTATAAAATTATTTCGAAGATCCTGGTATTGCGGTTAAAACGATGTCTAGGCAACCTCATCTCGGAATCACAGGCAGCATTTGTTCCAGGTAGAAATATTCAGGACAATATACTAGTTGCCCATGAACTTTTGCATGCTATCAAATCAAAAAAAGATTGTGCTGAATCCTATCTAGCTGTTAAGACTGACATTAGCAAAGCATATGATAGAGTGGAATGGGGTTTCTTAGAAACGGTAATGAGAAAAATGGGGTTTGCTGATCGTTGGATAGGTTGGATCATGAGTTGTGTCACAACAGTTTCCTATTCAGTTTTAATTAACGGATCAGCGTATGGCAATTTTAAACCTACCAGAGGCATTAGACAAGGTGACCCTTTATCACCATATTTGTTTTTGATATGTGCAGAAGTATTAAGCCAGACGCTGAGTAAGGCCGAGAGAATGAAAAAGTTCCAAGGTATGAAATTAGCAAGGAATTGTCCAACGGTTACACATCTACTGTTTGCTGACGACTCTCTCTTCTTCTGTAGAGCTACTCCATCGGACTGTGGGCAAATTGCAAAAATATTATCTGATTATGAAGCTATCTCTGGACAAAAGGTAAATTTTCAAAAATCGTCAGTTATATTTGGTATGAGGATTAATGAAGAATTCAGAGCTGTGTTACAAGGAATTTTGGGGATCAATAATATAGGTGGTGGTGGTAAATACCTGGGATTACCTGAACAATTTGGACGCAAGAAAAAGGAGCTGTTCCAGTTTGTCATCAAACGGATAGAGGAGAAACTAGGAGGATGGTATAATCAGTTTCTGTCTCCAGCTGGTAAGGAAGTATTAATCAAATCTGTGGCTTTAGCAAAACCAGTTTATGCGATGAATTGCTTCCTTATTCCCAAAACAACATGTGATGACATTAATAGTTTGTTGTCTGAATTTTGGTGGGGCACAGATAATGGAAAGAGGAAGACCTCATGGGTTGCTTGGAAAAGGATATCTTTGCCGAAAAAGGAAGGAGGTATAGGATTTAAAGATTTACACAAATTTAATCTCGCTCTTTTGGCAAAGCAAGCATGGAAGATTTTGACGAACCCAACGTCTCTACTTGCAAGAATTTACAAAGGAAGGTATCATCACTCATCGATGTTCTTAGAATCGATGTGTGGAGTGCAATCATCTTATGGATGGAGATCAATACAAGCAGGAAAAGATCTGCTGAAAAAAGGTTTACGGAAGCTATTAGGTAATGGAAGGGATACATATGTAGATATGGATCATTGGTTACCGGTTTTACCTCCACGTATTATCAACAATGTTACTGGTGTGAATAGACAAAGTTTACATGTCCCAGTGTGTTCGTTATGGCAGGAAGGAAAACGACAATGGGACAATGGGAAATTAGATCTTTTGTTGACACCAGAAGATGCTGATTTAGCACGGACGGTCAATCTGTCACGTTATGCCACTGAGGATAGGTATATATGGCCCTTCACAAAGGATTGTAGATACACAGTTAAATCTGGTTATTGGTTTGCTACACATCATGACCAAGATGATATTATTATGCCTCCTACAGGAGATAAGGAGCTGAAAATGAAGATCTGGAATATCAAGCTTTTACCAAAAATCCAACATTTCTTATGGAGAGCTTTGTCGGGAGCACTACCAACAGCAGAATCACTTATAAAGAGAGGTATACAAGCTGATCCAATCTGCAAGAGATGTTGTTTATATGACGAAACCATAAACCATGTATTATTTGAATGCTCCCAGGCGAAGTCAATTTGGAGATGTGCAAACTATACTCTGTTTGATAATGTTGTACCAAATTTGGAAGAGAATATCAAATTGCTACTGGAAAACCAAGAGAACGTGTCTCTACCTAATCAAGTAAGATTTATTCCTTTTTGGATACTATGGCAAATCTGGAAATCAAGGAACGAATTTCTATTTGAAAAAAGAAATGTCCGTCCAAATGTGGATGCACAAAAAGGTAATCAGAGTGCTACAGAATTCTTGGCTGCTCAAGAGGGTATTGCTCAAAATTCAGGTACGCATCAAAATATAATTGAGGATAGGTCAAGTGAATGGGAACCCCCACCTGAGGGTTGGTTGAAATGTAATTTTGACATTAGCTTACGACCGAATCAAGAGCACATCAGAGTAGGATGGATTATAAGAGATTGTAAAGGATCCTTTCTGAATGCAGGATCAGCAAAGTTACCATTTGTCGCCACATCGTTTCAGGCAGAAGCTGCAGGTTTTCTTCACGTTTTACAAGTAGTCTGGGCACGTGGTTGGTGATATGTGTGGTTCGAAAGTGACAACAAAGAGCTAACGAAGGTTATTAATGCGAAGGAAGATAGCTTAGAGTTGGGAAATGTACTCTATGATATCAGGTACTGGATGCAGAAACTACCACAATGTTCTCTTGATCATGTGAATCGGGAAAGGAATCAAGCTGCAGATTGTCTAGCCAAAAAGGCGTACGAAACGAAGTCTTCATTTTCCTTATTTGATGTACCGCCTGTATGGCTTGTTAATTACTTATATTTTCCGTTTACAGTTTAATCTAATAATAATAAGTTGACAAAAAAAAAAAATGAATTACTATGTTGGTGTATCTAAGAATATCACAAGCCCAATTCATAGCAATAACTAAAATCTGAGAAAATTATAGAATACAATAGAGAAAAATTATAATAAAAAGAAATGAGAGTTGAAACATTAGAAGCAAAATATCACTACATTGTATTGTATATGATGAATCTACTATAATAAAAATAGAAGTTTGAGGCTCCTAAGGGTGTCCACATCAGCTTTCTAATCTTTTTCCTTAAGATGCCACGTCAGCTAATCTCTCCTGTGATGTTAAGAAAAACATTAAAACCAGTTTACAAATAAGCAAGTTCTATTTTAGCAGGTCAGACTAAAAACTAGGCCTGGGCAAAAAACCCGGATCCGAATATCCGAACCGGAACCGAACCAAAATAGAGGTACCGAATCCGAACCGAAATTTTTAAAAATATCCGATGGATCTTAAACTCTTATACTCGAAGAACCGGAACCGAACTAGTACCGAACCGAGAACCGATTGGGTATCCGAATTATCCAAAGTATAATTATATATCCTTCTAAATATTAGTTTTTTTTTATATTTTTGATATTTGGTATATATTTCTGGTTTTACAGATATATTTTTTTTTATTTTTGGGACTTTTGGGTATATTTTTGAGTTTTGATATATATATTTTTGAATTTTTGTTATTAAAAAAGTGTGAGTCGAATTAAAAATTTGAGACAAAAGATCTGGATCCGATTATCCAAACCGAAACCGAACCGAAATAAAGGTACCGAATTCGAACCGAAATTTATAAAAATACCCGATAAATCCTAACTTTCTCTACCCAAAATATCTAGAACCGATTAGTTCCGAACCGAAACCAAACCGAATATCCGAATATCCGAATGGCCAGTCCTACTAAAAACGATTCACCATCTATCTCTTCAGCTTCTCTCATAATATAATCTTCCGTTGCAATGCTTCTCGATGACAAATTGATCTTCTCTCTTTGAATCTTTCTCTACTTCCTTATTTTCAAGACCAATGAGTAGGAGAAACTCGATGAAGATGTGTTCGATCCCTGTTCGCGGACTACAGCGTGTGGATTCTTTGCCGTATAAGTGTTTGATGCCTGTTTGCGATTGTGGATTCGCCGTATAATTTCTTTGAAGCGATGAACACTAACTCGAAGTCCACATCCGCATGTAAAACAATGGGGTATCTGAAAAATTAATATAATTCCTCACGCAGAAGGTGAAGAAGCTAATCGGATTTTCATATTTTGGAATTCGAGCGGAGATCTGGAAGTTTTTGTTCTAAATTGATCCTGTTCCGCTCTCTTCATCGTCCGATCATACCATAAAGCGCCTCTTCCTCTCCCTTTAAGCAGAGTATTAAGTGTATAACAGTCAAATGATTTATTTCTGTGTGTTGCTCTGAATCTCAAAAGAATTGATCTAAGGTTTTAGCAATTGAATTTTTTGGGGAGTTTGATCAAATTATGAACTGTTGTTTCCATATGTATTGCAGGGTCAATGAATTCTCAAAGAGAAAAGACAATGTTAAAATCTATCTCTCTTTCTCATTATGTTTCACCTTTCATGTTTAGTCTTCGTTTTAAGCATGAGTATTATTTTTTAAGAAATGTTTTTAATTGCAGGTCTCTGGAAAGTCATGGGATCATCATCTTTCCTGCTTTAGATTGAGTTAAAGCAGTCGTTTTGGAATTTGGCTTCATTTTGAATGGTGCTAGCTTTGTCTTTAGATTTCTGGTGATTTGCTTAATCACTTTGTGTTTCCATGGCAATGGGTATTCTCCAATGATGGAATTTGGCGTGCAGAGTGACATGTTTTATATCAATGGAGAAAGCCTTCAAGAACCTGTTTAAGCAGCATGTGAAAGTTTGCATTTAAACATTTGTTTAAGCAACATTTTAATAAATTCACATATTGAGTCTTTCTATGTTCAGAGTTCCCATCAAAGCTTACAAGAAATGGTGAGAAGCCCATCGTTAAATTCTATTCTGATCATCTAGAATCTTCTGAATTGGGATATTTAGCATGTTGTAATTTGGATCTTTACAAAGCCGTACGAAAATACAGGTGGATTTGTTGAGATGATGAATGCAAATAATTTTTTTTTTTTTTGGGCGAATGCAAAGAGATCTATGATATGATATCTGAAGACGAGTAGCTGGTCAGTTCTACAGGTTTTTTGCCCTAAGAGAGATTCAAATGATGTTGGAGAGGAGCTTGTGGAGATTCTCAAACGCGAAGTAATGGTTAAGGTAGGTATATATTCTCCTCCTCACTCACTCTACATATATCTTAGGCTCTAGATTACCTTCTGATTATATCTGCAATTCTAATTTACATTATTATTAACAAAGAGTATGAAGAGGTGCTTCCACAAAGATTTAGAGATACGAACCACATTTTTCGAGACACAATGGCTTTAAGAATTGCTGTAGACTGCAGCGGAAGGTGGTCCCATTCGACAAAGGCGAATGGAAAGCGGAGAGCTTGGAGAAAGAGGATGTTGTGATATAGGAGATGAAAATGGTGAAATTATAATACTAAAGAGCCGCCAAAATTTGTTAATTTTGTAAGAATATAAAAAAATTTGGTTCCGCGAATTTGAAATCCATAGGTTTTCTGTAGTAAATCAATTTTATTCATAATTTTATTTCTCAAACACTGAACCTTTTTTTTATATATACGCATATACATATTGTGATACATGGCATTTTGGAAATTTGGTTTTTTGTTAATTTTGTTAGAATGTTGTCGACCAACAGTATGAACATGACAAATTATTTAACAACATTACTAAGCAAAGGTTATTTGTAATAATAACATATACTCTTTCCAGTTTCCAACTTACCAAAAAAATATAATAATAGAAACGAAATACTTATCTAGGTAAAAGGCCGGAAACAAATTAAACTAAAAGGACAACAAACGATTTTTGGATAAATATTATAAAATTTTAATCAGACCAAGAAAAAAAAAGTGTCTACATACAAGCTTCCAGCATAAATTTTAAAACTAGATTACACAAACCAGATTATCTATGAATGGAGCTTAGTCAATTATTACACTACACCGAACCTAAAATGAATACCAAGCGTAAAATTATAAAGTAACAACATAACCAAAAAAATAATATACTATATAGTGTTTAATTATATGTATATCGTATATTATATCAACATAATATGTTGAATAACATATAAAATGTAATAATTGAAATGAAAATAGAAAGATGTGTACCAAAGAGGGAGAGAAAGATTTTGTATTTTATTATGGTATATTTTACAATGGACGAGTACATACTATATATAGAAGAAAATCAGACAAGTATTACTGTAAGAGATAAGTAAATGGGTCCGCAAAGTTTTGACTTTGCAACACTCTCCCTTGGAGTCTATTTGTCATTCTTATCTCTTGTGGTTCATCTTCAGTTGCCTCGTTAAAAACTTTTCTAGAGAAAACCCAGTAAGAAAAACTATAGTAAAGGTAAAAAAAGTACAACCTCACATGCTCCCCCTCGAGTGACTAGAACCGTTTTATAGATCTCGTTGATGACGCAAAGTCCACTACTTGATTTGATATGCTGGCTCATTGATCTAAGCCATACACTTTCTCTACTTGCCTCGTGGAGGGCAATGATTTCAGCATGGTTTGAGGAAGTGGCCATAAGCGTTTGTTTCTGAGAGCGCCATGATATAGCAGTTCCCCCAACTGTGAAAACGTATCCAGTTTGTGACCGGGCTTTGTGAGGATCAGATAGATACCCTGCATCAGCAAAGCCAATCATTTGTCCATCTGAGCTTTTAGGATAAAATAATCCTAAATCAACTGTCCCTTGAAGATAACGAAAAACATGTTTAATTCCGTTCCAATGTCTCTGTGTAGGAGATGAGCTGAATCTAGCCAAAAGGTTAATGGCAAACGATATATCAGGTCGAGTGCAATTTGCGAGATACATAAGAGCTCCAATTGCACTTAAATATGGTACTTCAGGACCGAGTAAGTCTTCATTTTCTTCATGTGGTCGGAAAGGATCCTTTTCAACACTAAGTGATCTAACGACCATAGGAGTACTAAGAGGATTTGCTTTATCCATGTTGAAACGTTTTAACACTCTTTTTGTGTATGTAGATTGATGTACAAATATACCTTTTTGGGAATGCTCGATTTGTAAACCGAGACAATACTTTGTCTGTCCGAGATCTTTCATCTCAAATTCTCCTTTTAAGTAGTTTGATGCTACTTGTATTTCTTCCTTAGTTCCAATAATGTTTAGATCATCAACATATACCGCAATAATTACAAATCTGGATATTGTTTTCTTGATGAAAACACATGGGCATATAGGATTGTTCACGTACCCTTCTTTTGTTAAATGCTCACTGAGACGATTATACCACATGCGTCCAGACTGCTTTAATCCATATAATGATCTTTGCAATTTTATTGCACATAACTCTTTTGGTTTGGAAGTTAATGCTTTTGGCATCTTAAATCCTTCAGGAATTCTCATATAAATATCATTATCTAATGATCCATATAGGTATGCTGTAACGACGTCCATAAGACGCATCTCCAGATTTTCGTGAGCCGCTAGACTCATTAAAAATCTGAATGTGATCGCATCCATAACCGGAGAATACGTTTCCTCATAATCGATCCCAAGTCTTTGAGAAAAGCCCTGAGCTACGAGGCGAGCCTTGTATCTCATAACCTCGTTTTTCTCATTTCGTTTCCGAACGAAAACCCATTTGTATCCCACTGGTCTTACAGATTTTGGTGTGAGTACAATTGGTCCGAATACTTCTCGTTTGTTAAGTGAATCAAGTTCGACTTGAATCGCACTTTTCCATTTTATCCAGTCATGTCTTCTTTGACATTCTAATACAGACTTAGGTTCTGGATCTTCATTCTCTTCTTCTATTTCTTTTGATACAAGGTATGAGAAAACATCATCAACCTCATCCATGTCATTTCGATTCCATATCTTTCCATTATGAATGTAGTTAACAGAAATCTCATGATTTTCTTCGGATTCATAATGTTCGACATTATTTTCTGATTCATGATTTGTTTCTTCTGGAACAGATTCTATCATTTTAGGATCATAATGTTTCTCAACTTCCTTCCGTTTTCTAGGATTTTTGTCTTTGGAACCAAGAGGTCTACCACGCTTCAAACGTGTTCTAGACTCACGTGTATCATCTGCTTTTTCGCGTTCCTGTGGTATTTCTACACGAGCAGGAACATTTTCGGCTGGTATATGTGATTTTGTTACCGTTTTGGTATCCACAAATGCATCAGGTAGTTGATTAGCTATGCTTTATAAATGCATAATTCGTCGAATTTCTAGTTCTGAATGTTTAGAAGGGGAATCAAGGTGTAACAGAGATGGTATACTCCATTTGATATCTCTTTCTATCTTTTTGTTTTCTCCCCCTAGAACCGGGAATACTTCTTCATCAAAATGACAATCTGCCAACCGTGCCGTAAAGACGTCACCAGTTTGCGGTTCTAAGTATCGTATAATTGATGGAGAATCGTAACCAACATATATCCCTAACCTTCTTTGTGGTCCCATCTTTGTGCGTTGTGGTGGTGCTATTGGTACATATACTGCACAACCAAAGATTCTTAGATGAGAAATATTTGGTTCTCGACCGAATGCCAACTGTAATGGGGAATATTTATGATATGCAATTGGCCTTACCCGAATAAGTGCTTCTGCATGCAAAATAGCATGTCCCCATACAGAGGTCGGGAGTTTTGATCTCATGATCAATGGTCTTGCAATAAGTTGCAAACGTTTTATTAATGATTCTGCCAAACCATTTTGTGTGTGAACATGAGCTACAGGATGTTCAACCTCGATTCCAGTTACCATACAATAATCATTAAATGCTTGGGATGTAAATTCATCAGCGTTGTCTAGTCTAACTCTCTTTATTGAATAATCAGGGAATTGAGCTCTTAGTTTGATTATTTGAGTTAAAAATCTCGCAAATGCCACATTTCGAGATGATAATAGACAAACATGTGACCATCTACTTGACGCGTCAATCATTACCATAAAATAGTAGAATGGTCCACATGGTGGATGTATAGGTCCACAAATGTCGCCTTGAATCCGTTCAAAGAATTTTGGTAACTCTTTATCAATTTTTGTTGGCGATGGTCTGATGATCAATTTTCCGAGAGAGCACGCAGCACATGTCATTCCTTTTCCTTGACAAATCTTCTGGATTTTCAATGAATGTCCATGTGAATGTTCTATGATTTTTCGCATCATAGTGGTGCCTGGATGACCAAGATGATCATGCCATAGTGTGAAATCTTCAGAATCTTTCTTGATCACAAGGTTTGATTCTATCACATTTATGTATGTATGATGTAAACCAGAAGGGAGTTCTGGTAACTTTTCTAATACATGCCTTTTTCCCGATTTTTCAGAAGTTATGTACATATATTTCTTCCCATTTTCAGTTGCAGACTGAGTATCAAAACCTTGAAGATTTATATCTTTAAAACTCAACAAATTCCTTTTTGAATTTGGAGAAAATAGTGCATGAGTTATCGAGAACTTTGTTCCATTAGGTAATGCAAAATTAGCTTTACCAGTCCCTTCAATCAGATCTGCAGGACCTGATATTGTGTTGACAACAATTTTTACCGGTCTCAAATCCGAGAAATATCTTCTATGTTTCAGAATGGTGTGTGTTGTTCCACTATTTGGTATACAAATATCTTTAGTATATGTCTTGGATGAAGTTTCGTTTGTATCGTAATCCATTTCTGTAATAAACAAAAATAATTAATAATAATAAAATATTTTTATTAATAAAGCAAATATCATGCAATAATTATACATTAATAAGAAAATATCACACGATAATTATACATAATTAGGTAATGCAAACAACATTAATTATACATTATATTTTACATAAGCGACAATTATTTATGGTACATTCGTTGAAACTTCAAGAGTCACATGGTGGATATTTCAGACTTCTGTGGGGGCGGTTTCATCAAAGTCATCTGCAAAGTCAGACGCATCGAGGTGCGGTGTACCCTCAGAATGTTCCGCAAGATTGACTTCCTTTCCCTTGCCTTTAGCGGATTCTTTGTACAATGTGCATAGATGTGCAGGAGTACGACACACACGAGACCAATGTCCCTTGGTACCGCATCAGAAAAAGTATCCTCTCGCTTCTGTGAGGTACTTCCTTAGTGTTCTTTTCCCTTTGGGGGTTGTTCAGAACGAATCCACTGGAATGACTTCCTATTCTGAGGGCTGTAGTTTCTCCCACGTCCGCGGTAGTTTCGACGGCCACGTCCCCGAAATGCTTTGTTCTCTTTAACTGGATTCTTAACATCCACTGCGTTCGCTTCAGGAAACGCTTTAGATCCAGTGGGTCGTGTCATGTGATTCTTAATAAGGAGCTCGTTATTCTTCTCAGCTATCAAGAGTGCCACAATCAAATCCGAAAATTTGGTATATCCACGCAACCGGTATTGTTGTTGCAGAGTGATGTGGTTTTTATGGAATGTGGTGTATGTTTTCTCAAGCATTTGAGACTCCGTAATGGTTTCACCACAATACCTTAATTTAGCTACAATTCCTAACACTGCAGAATTGTAGTTCATCACTTTGTCAAAGTCTTGAAACCTCAGATTTTGCCACTCATCCCGAGCAAGTGGAAGTGTTATGTCCTTTTGATGATCGAAACGATCCTTAAGGGACTTCCAAAGCTCTTGGGGATCTCTCATGTGTGCGTAATCATAGATGATACTTTCATCTAGGTGTCTTCTAAGGAAGATCACCGATTTCGCCTTTTCTTGGGCCGTTGAGGTATTCTTCTCTTTGATGGTTTCCGTTAAACCCAGAGATTCGAGGTGAAGTTCAACGTTGGTGGTCCAAGATATGTAATTAGCACCAGTGATGTCTAAAGCCGGGAATTGGAGCTTCTCAACGTTTGCCATTAGATTTTCTAAAATAAAATAACAGAAGTAATTATATTAGAAAAATGATTTTTATTAAAATATGCGAGGTGGTGGAATACATAATGAGATTACAAGGAATACAAATGCATAAAAGCCTGAAATAAAAATCATCACATATTCTTCCGGAGAAAATTCTCCAAATAGTAAACTATAAAAAACAACAAGTATATAACCTATTACAAATACTAAAAAGGGATGAACCATTTTTTTTATTTTTTTTATTTTTATTTTTTTTGAAAGAAATGTGATGGGGGAATGAAATATTTGAGTGAAATGAATGATAGATAAGTATATTTATAGATTGTATAATACTGTTCATTAGCCGTTATGTAGCCGTTTGAAAATTTTAAAAATAAAAAAATTATTTTGTTAATGACCGTTGGAAGCAAAGAAAATAAGGTAAAATCAGACTGATAATTTAAATAATAAATATACTAGTTTATATATTTATAAGTATACATTGGTAGTATAAATTTATTTATAATTATAGTAAAAATGTTAATTTAAAGATAAATATATGGTGACCATAACATCTATATTAAACAGTAAATAAATAAATAATGGTGACTTAAGTCATCCTCATCCATATGAGCATGGTAAATAAATGTATGGTGACTGAGTCATCCATATTAAAACAATAAATAAATAAATTATGGTGATTTAAATCATCCATATAATCATAATAATTAAACAGTGCAAGTAAATAAATATATGGTGACAGAATCATCCATATAAAATAAAATAAATTATTTAGGCGGTTTAACCATCTATTATGGTGCGTTAAGCAACCATGATAAAAAACAGTAAATAATGAAAGCAGTAAATAATAATGGGGCGGCAGAGCCGCACTCCAATTATTATAATTATATAATTAAAAATTATAAATTATAGAGGTAGAGTGATCGTGCTGATAACGTGTTTAATTATATCGTATATCGTAAATTATATCAACATAATATGTGAATAACATTAACATAGTTATTTGAATAGAATGTAATAATTGAAATGAAAATAGAGAGATGTGTACCAAAAAGGGAGAGAGAGATTTTGTATTTTATTTTGGTGTATCTTACAATGGACGAGTACATGCTATATATAGAAGAAAATCAGACAAGTATTACTGTAAGAGATAAGTAAATGGGCTCCATCATCAAATTCTTACGCAAAGTTTTGACTTTGCAACATATAGGAAATATTTAAAGAAATCAAAACATGAAAAATAATTGTAATACATGTCCGTGCGTAGCGCGGAATAATCTCTAGTACTATTAATTACACATGATAGAATGCATTAGAGGTTTTCTTGGATCTTGAGACGGTTGGATTTAGGGATAGAGTGCATGTGATCTTCTAAATAATACTAATATTATATTTGAAAAAAAAAATTCAGAAACCAAATGTACGAAATATTAGGTATGGGTACTTCAGGAATAGATATTTCGGGAATCGGGATGGAAAAATACGTGTTTAGGGTTTAGGTGACTGGTTATGCAATCAACCCTACGAATATAGAGATTGCTGCAGTTCTAAAATTTCTTGAATGTAATCACTTATAACTTATAAGGATGAAATAATATTCCCAAAAAGTTTAACTGTAGACCGTTATCAAAGATAAGATTTATTATATTATTTTTTTATAGTTTCAATTTTCTTTCTCTTCCAAAAAATTGATGATATTATACTTTTTTGT